AAAGAATCGATAACTACAATGACGTTCCTTTTTATTATTTTTGTTGGTAACAAGATACATTAAGGGGTCCAGAGGAACCTTGAGTGGCATGCATGAGTTTCAGTCAAAACATGTTTAACCAAACTTTATATAGCATCATTATATTTGCTCCCATGCACATCACACCTCCAGACTTCACCCATGCAGCAAAATGCGCTTTTTAATTATTTCTCTTAATATTATATAAAAAATCTATTTCTATTGACTTTTAAGCTCTTTGCCAATACTGTACGATACAATTTTGTTCCAGTCAATTTTCGTTCGCATAACAGGTAATTGCCTTCGTAAGGCCTTAAAGGTTGTGTCAGACATTGTTTGATAATTTTCCGATATAGCAGTTTGATAGTCATTTTCTGATTCCTCAACAAGCCGTATTAATTCCTTTGCTGTTTGTTTTTCACTTGAGATTGGTAAGCTTTCTTTTACTTCTTTGCTACTGACCAGTTGTACATTTCCATCTTCATAGTAATGAACTTGTACTTTAAGACTACCTCTTAATTCTGCATTTCCAGAACTTGGACTAAAACTTACAGTCCATACAGAACGCCAACGGCCATTCCAAAAATTTTTAGGTTGAAACTGATGATCTTCTATGCAAGCCGTTAAGGTAATGTTACCTGTATAAATGAATGCCACTTTTTATTTATAATTACCATTTTCAAACAACTAAAATTTAATAAAATATAAGAAAGTAAATAATACCTCCTTGACTCTTTCCAAAAACTGAACATGCACCATGTCTATAATGACTTTGAGTATAAGTTGTTATTTCATCTTGAAGAGCTGATCTCCAAGGTTCAGCCACAGAATCTGGTTCATATGGTTCATAATCCTGTGCTTCTTTTCTAAGATGGTCATATTTAAAACTTTGCTTACTGCGAGCATCATAAAACCTTTGCCCACCTAGATCATTGTGTTCTGTTATAAGAGCAGGATATTCACTACCTTCAATCTGAAGTCAAAAAATGAAACAAATGAATAGATATTAATACAAAATTCATAAATTAAAAAATTTCATGATGCAAACTACTTATAATGAATTATATTAATATCTAACCTTACTTTAATTGAATCTAATTGATAAAATTATGAAATAAAAATTATTTTCCCAAATTATATAATGAAATCAAAATTGAAATTAATTTTATCAATTTAATTAATCTTAAATATTTTCTATTAAAATCACTACGAAATGTAACTATAATTAACCCTATTGCAGCGTACAATTTCGATGGAAATTTCACTATGATTTTCACATAGCAACTGTTGTGTACCGATTCGAGGATTCTTTAGATAAACAATCACATCAGCCAGGTGAACATTATCGCGCTCCAATTTCACTATAAAGTCAATGTCACCTGTCGAAATTCCGAATGCGTGTTGATCAATTAGGAATGTTACTAGGCATTGAAATTTGATCCAACACTTCTCGGGGATAGTGTAACCTTCGATTACCACAAATACTAAACAATACCCCGGATACTATCACAAAAAATTATAAAAGTTCATCAGAGAGGTCGATGATGTACCTTAACAGGCGTGAGCTGATCCTTGTTGTATTGAGCAAATGCTCCAGACGCACCCTCCTTCAACAGGTTGTCGTTGTTTAACAAGACTCTCACATCATTAAAAACCTCGTTGAATTCGCCTGGTGGTGAGTGCAGTATAAAATCCGAAACTATTCGTACTTTTTCTTGATCAGGAATCACATCTCCGTCCGCCGCCATCTTACCTTTCCACTGGCACGCACACTCCGCGATGTCAAACCAAGGTTAGTGCAGTGCAGGTTGTACCGGCGTATCGAAGCACTGCCCCATATACCCGGTGACGCATCACAAAGGGGATACGTATCTCTATTCTCTTAATCAACTCTATGACATACATATTTTTCTATACTTCTTCACATTCCAATAATGTGATGAATCATACACTTAAACATGTATACGTGATGCATACGCTTAACAAATGATTATATTTATTCTGAAAAATATATATATATATATATATTTAATGTATTTATTTAATTTTTTATGTTGAAAGTGAATAATTATACGATAAGTTTATTTTTAACATTTTTTCATATAATAAGATTATAAAATTATGTAATGACTTACATGCTACGATTATTATAAATAGAATGCAACATAAATTATTTTTCTTATTGAAATAAATATGTTTAATATTTATTTCTATATATACTTTTCTTTGAAAAAAATATATCCAAGAGAGAAGATGTAATAAAGGAAAAATATAGAAGTGAATTCCAATCACTCGGTTCGGAGACAACTACTGTGTTCAACGAACCTTGACGAATATAACCTTCGAATAATATTCATGATCTTTTCTACAAATTTTCAGACAGGCGTGGTTTATATACAAATAGATAGGGTAATTTATTAAAATATTTTTATCTGTTTGCATAAAGTTTTATATCAAGAAATGGTCTCTTATTAAAAAAATCATCGCCGGATATGTTGATTTACCCGCTAAAATTTGAATAACCTTCGAAACGAGAAAAGAAAAAAATTTAAATTTAAAATATAACATAGCATGTATTTGCATTGAAAATAAACCAATATTCTATGATCCTTCTATAAGGATTTATTTTTTTCAATTTTAAATTTAAATATACATTATATATACAATTTTAAATAAGTATTACAATTTTTTGAATTTCTTAATTTTAAAAATTTTAAGTATTTGAATGATTTTAAAATAAAAATATTTCATTATTCATTAAATTCATTTCATATTAATGTATATATTAATGTAATAATTAATTTTACGATAGTTTTTAGGTAATATCGCATAACGCTGAAATTATGGCAGATGATCCAAATCGAGATATTTTGCCTGTCAGAGAAGGTTCTTGTACGGATACTTTTAGTAGTATAGGTTCGTATCTGTCTCTTAAGATAATATTATTTTTCGTTTTTATAATTTTTATTTTAAACAACTTAAAGATCCCAGGGATCGACATTGCGTAATTAAACTCGATCGTTATCAACTGGAGGATAAATATTTGCGACTACTCGAGGAAGCAAATAACTTGAAGAAACTAACAAATTGTCAGGAGGATAAGATTAAACGATTGGCAACAAAGTTGATGAGAGTAACTGCAAGTACAAGGCCATGCTCGCTCGCTTTAAACATTTATGAAGATAAAAATAAAATAATCGCTCTTGAACTTGAGAACTCCAAGGTGAGAGTTAAATTTTTTCTTATTTTTTTTTTTTTTTTTTTACAAAAAGATTCAAAGATAGAATAAAAATAAATAAAAGAATAGAAAAAAAAAAAAGAGGAAATATTTCATTTCATATTTAAGTAAGTTCTTTATGAAATCTCTTCCAAAGCTAAATCCATTGAAATTTTCCAATAGATAACTGTTACGATATAATTTACGATAACATTGCAATTGATTTTTCAGCTCAAAGATAAAATCACAGTGTTGAAAAATCAACTACTGAGTCATACGATAAGCAGTAGATCATCATCAAAAACTCGCGCGAGGCCGTCATCCGGGCGCATGTAAGTGTATAGCGTCGTATTACAAGTGATCCATAACGATCTATGATTCACACTCATCACGATGATAGATAACTGAATCCTGAGATCCTTGTTTTAGAACTTGCTGTAGCGAAAGCAGCCGTACCAAATGTCACTGTTTAGACGATGATACGTCCAACGTGCAAAGTTATCTTGAAAAAATCGAGGTAATAAAATCGATGTGATTAATTAAAATATCTAATAAATAATTAAATAATAAATATATATATATATATGATTCAATATTAAATTTATTAATCGTAAAAAAATAGGATGATGCATTTTCAAAATTGTATATTTGTCGAGCAGGAATTGGAATCGCAGAAAAGTGAAATGTGTACTCGGATAATGCAACTAGAGAAAGAGGTGGCCACTTATACTACTATTTGCCAAAGAGAGAAAGTAGCGGACAATGTCGAATACATAAAGATTTGGCGAGAAATGAAGCAAATAAACGATAAATTAATAACTGCCGAAAACGAGAACGGATCATTGACTGCACAAGTCAACGATTTGAAGGAGAAGCTCGAGGAGAAAACGAAGTAAATGCCCCTTATGCTTTGCTTATACGTATCTATGTCGACCAATTAAATAGTATTTATCTCGTTTACTTATAATTCTTTTCTCTTTTTTTTTTTATAATAATTTTATCTTATCCATAATCTATATTAAATAAATTTTATACGCTCTGTTCTTATTCATAAGATAAAAAGTTTGAGTAGATTTATAGAAAAGAATATTATGCAATTAGGAAGAACGAAATTATGGCATCGGAGCTTTTATCGGAGAAGAAACGAATAGCGGAGATCGACGAGCAAATATTGAAAACGAAAGATTCTGAACTTTCGTTACGGGAAAAGAACGAGCAGATAAAAGATCTCCTAAAAGAGGTGAAGATATTGCAGCAACACAACGAGGAGCTTATAATACTGAACTCGAAATATACAAAAGTCGAGTTAGAGAACAAGGAATTGAAGAAGAAAGTCATCGACCAACAACACGATCAAGAGTGTTTGAAAACTGCTGTTGATAACGAACAGGCTAATATCATTGCGCTGCAAACCTCGAACGAACAATTGTTGGGAAAGCTCGAAGAATTGCAGAAAAATATAGAAAATTTAACGGTCAGTGCATAATTTTTTTTCCCCGTCATCGGTAATGTCGATCTCTTCGAATAAATTCCATCTTCCATTTTTCGATCGAAAGAATTATTTTTCTTTTTTTTTTTTATTCGACGGATACAAATTATAATATTCTACTCGATAAATTTATTGTTAGAGCATCAGCAAGAAAGTAACAATGATTTTATTTCAGTGCTGCCAGACGCAAGCGGAGAAAGCGGAAGCTAAGGAAGCGCAGATATCGATATGTTTCTCCGACATGCAGATATCAACATTACCTAAACATGATTTGTTGTGCAAAAATTTCGAGGCCCAAATAAAGTGTCGCAAGTGTTCCGAACTAGAATACGAAGAGAGCGCAGTGAAAAAAGAGAAATGCAAGAAATGTTACGAGATGATAGACAACGAAGACTTATATAAGAACAGGTTGTATTCTCACTCAAAGACTCATAATCAAGTCGAGAATAAATCGATACAAACGGAAATTGTGAAAACGATCGTTACGGATGAGAACGATTATAACGAGATTGTAGCATCTAAGAAGGAAATATTGATAAAAGAGGTTATAAATTCCGAATCGCAAACAATATGTTCGGAAAGTATGAAACGTGCTATGATCACAGATTCACAGTGTTATAGTTTGACTCCGGAAAAAATGTTGAAGTTTTTGGAAGAAGCGCAAATAGATAGAACATGTGCGGAAACGATAAAACAGAGAAACACGGCCACTGACATTGATTATGATATTTTGGATCAATATCAGAGACAAAGGCAAGTTGTCTCTCTTGAGAAACTGCTCTTTGGAGATTCTTGATTATTGTTGAGTAATTGTTGATTGTCCGAGTGTTGTTCGCATTATTATTATTTTATTCTTGTGTTTATTTATTTTTATGTGGACCAAGTTTGATGTGATATATCGATATAACGTTTAGATTTATAATTGAAAATTTTGTGTTCATTGAAATTGGAAGATTTAATATCAATTTCTTCCTGATAAATTAGATAATGATAATAATTGTGACGAGTACAGAATCTTTAGAGCTTCCGAATTCTTTTTGGAAGATTTTCACGTTCGTTCGAACGACATATATATATA